CCACTGTGAAATGGGTTTTCAGATAACTTCTAATCCGTTGTTGTTGGTATGAAAAATAAAGCTTTTGTTTCCCCCCCTAGGCGAGCTACTTGGTTCATCTCTTACGCCCTTTCACATTTTTCAGTTGCCTCTTGGATATTCTAGGGAGCGATCACATGGTCTCATGATGTGATGGTCACGTTGCCTCCTCCTTTCTAATAACCATCTTCCACTTCTGGTGGGCGCCTCACGAAGTTAGCTGGAACACCCGGGACAGTGCTGACGGGTCGCCGGCTCTCTTCGGACCTGCCCTCAGCCAGCTGCAGGCGGCCTCTCCGCCCTCGCCCGCATGGCGACCCGCCTCCACGCCCCGACAGGCTCCTCCCGCCTCTCAGCGTGGGCGACCTCTGCTGCCCCCTGCCGTGTGCGTGGGGCGGGGGGTGCTGCCACGAGACAGGCTGTGTTTTCCCGTAGAAAATGTACGTTCAGAATGTCTTTGAATGGACCTCAATGTGCTGTACGTTTAGCACACGGAGGGGCAGCTCTATTGCTATGTGGATGTGACCTAAAACTAACATATTATCTCTGAGAGTCACCATTTATTTCAAAACAATTTTGTCTGTCATCTTGGACTTAAAGCATGGGTTGGACGGCCTGTTTCTTAAATGTCTGTCCAGGGAGCCTTAAGCTTCTCCATGCTTATTTCTCTAGCAAGCAGAAGCATTAAAATCACTTATTTTGCACAAGAGCTGTGTCCCAAGTTAGGGCTCAATTGTATTTAAAAGAGGCCTTTGTATTGTATTGCTGTGAAGACAATATATAAGCAAAATAAATGAAAGGTTAAAAAAAAGAGGAAAATTTACTCCTAATTTTATAACCAGGACACAAAAATTATCCATTTTTGTTCATTTACTTCTAGTCTCTGCCCACATATTTATCTTTTTCAGATCTGCAGCCATTGCATTTGTGCAACGTGAATGTTACTTGTTTCACTTAACAAGCGTGCTTGTGGCTTTACATAATCTGCATAGTGGATCAAGCTTCATGGCTGGGTAATGTCCCTGTAACTAAATGACTGTAAGTAAATGAGCAGTAATTTCGTTAACCGTCCCCCCTAACACCAAACAGGGGGCTGCTTCCAAGCTCCACAGCACAGCGGGGGTGTCCGCACCAGGGCTGTCTCTGATCTTGGCTTAATTCCTCCGGCCGCTCCCTGGGGGGAAATCAATGGCTCAAAAGATTTGAAGGCTTTTAGGGCTTTTACTACCCTCCTGAGGGATTGTGCCAAGTCACCTGATGCAGCAGAGCAACTCGTGGTCCAGGTCCACTCCAAACGGTGGCTCATCTTCACAAACCGGTGTCACAGTATAGCTGTCCCTGGGGGCCTGGCATGGGAGTTTAGTCATGAGGGTTTGGAAAGGCATCGCCAGCACCTGGGTTCTTTACCCCAGTGTCCAGGGAGAGCGAGCTGTGGCTGCCAGGGGAGGGGCTCCGCCCCGAGGCAGCCCGGCCTCGGGCCCCCACCTGCCAGGTGACTGCTGAGGCTTGCTCCGGTGTGGTCCCAGGGGTTGGCACCCAGGATACAGACCACAGACACTGTCCTGGCTGTCAGACCATGGGGTGGTTGCCCCTGATGGCCCCTGCCTTGTTCACTCCCATGTTTACGTAACTCTAACAGATCCATTTTCAACCATGGGTTGTTGGGTTTTTTTTAAGGGAAACAGCATTTTTGTAGCATTTTGCCCACAGCACTCACTGAAGTAGACATCAGACACCTAGAGTAACAAAAAGCATAGGTATTACACGGAACAGGGGACACAGGCAGCAGGGCACCGCAGCCATGGGGAGGCCTGGGCTGAAGGTCCCCTGAAAGCCCAGACCCCAGGCTGCCCCAGGGCCACCAGTAACCGTGAGGGGAATGCTTCCTGGAGGCCACAGGTGCATTAGCTTGCTGTGGCTGCTCTGTCCCAGGCCATGTTTGCCCAGGGCTTGCAGGCTCTGGGGCCTGATCTAATGGGCAGCCTGGGAGGGAGGGGCTTACTGACAGGCAGCTGCAGGGAAAGGCAGTGGGGCGGGGGCGGGTGGGGGCAGCGGAGGGGCACTGACGGTACACCCTCTCCAGGCTCAGGAAGGCTCGGAGCCAGCTGGGTGCAAGAGGAAACTGTTCCCACGCAGAAGAAACACCGTGAGCTGTGCTCTTCACTGGTCTTCTGGGCTCGGGTGTTCTCTCTGTCTGGCCCTCCCTCCCACCAGCTCGCTCGGGGCTAGAAGCCTTTTTTTTTATACAGAAAACCATATTGTCACTTCACTGTGGGCTTCTGGAAATAAAATTCCAGCTGCTTGGCTCTTTCCCCGGTCCATCTTTCACACGGCCCACTCCCCCAGGGACCTCGTCTGATCCACACCCCACGCCCCACCCCCGACACCCGGCCCGCTGGGGCGCTTATCACCAACCACACAGGGACGCCGATAAACGGGAGGAGAATTTGCACAATTTGAAAGAGTCTTAAAGTATTTTACAAAAGTGTGGGAGGTAAAAGAAAGAATAAAAACCACGAAGACAAGATCAGAAAAGGGCTCTCCCACTCCCCTGCAGCCTCAGCCAAGGCACCCCGAGGGCTGGTGGCTGTTTGCACGGCTGACCGCCCCGCTTCCTCCTCCCCTCCCCTGCAGGCTCTGGGGTCGCCCCGGTCCTCCGCATCCTGGGCACCGCGCCGGGCACACAGCGGGGACGCACGCCGAGGCGGTCGGTTCCGGTACCGTGGGAGTCAGGCCAAGGAGCTGCCCCACGCTCTCGGGGCCCAGGCCGAGCACAGGGCGAAATGAATGGACGCAGTAACGCTGATCGGAGCCGGGCGCTGGGACGCGCAGGCTCCGGAACTGACGGGAGACCCCGCCCCCACTTCCACTGGCCAATCATCGGGGGCCGCAAGAGGCGACCCCGCCCCCGGCCTCGCCCTCTGCCAATGAGCGAAGCCCAGCCCCGTCGGCGCCCGCCGTTGTTCGCGCACCAAGCACCAAATAAAGTTCTTCAGGGCTTTGAATTTTTTTTTTAAAGCGCCCGCTGCGGTCGCAGCAGCCGCAGGCTAGAGAGTGGCCGAGTCTCCGCCCCGCCACTTCCGGTCCCGCCGCCCGGAGCCGGTGCGGCTGTGAGGGGCCGCGTCTCGCCGTCGCCGGCCGGCGGGGCACGGTGTTGGGCGCCGGGCCCGCCTCGCCTGTCTCGGGGTGCCCAGGTGAGGAGCGCGCGGCCCCGCAGCGGGCGAGGGGCGGCCGCGGGCCTCCGGGCGGCTCGGCTCCCGCGGCGCCGGTGCACCGGGCGGGCCGGAGGGCGGGCGGCGCCGGGGCCGCCTCAGGCCGCGCGGCTGCTCCCGGCCGGCCGGGCAGGGCGGCGTGAATGGAGGGCCGGGCCGGGGCGCTGGCCGGGCTGGAGGGGCCGCCGCAGGAGCCCCGGCCGTGCCGGGCACCTACACGGCCTCGCTGGCCCGCGCCCGCCGTCGCGGGGGTGCTGCTGGCCTCATCGTCCAGGGGGACCGCAGCGCCGAGCGCCGGGCCAAGGTCACCAGCCCGACGTGGCGGAGGGAGTGGGACTGGGACGCAGGCAGTCCGCCGGCGACCGCCGTGGCAGTCAGTTCGGGGAGCTGCCCCGCGCTCCGGGCGGCCGCGGCGCTGGGAAGCTGTTCCCGGGGGCGGAGGGGAGGACGTGGAGGACATCTTGGAACGATCGGTCCAGCCGGTCCCGATTCCAGACCCGGTTCGGCCGGTGTGTAGCCTTGGGCGTGGCCCTGCCCTCCGCGGGGCTCGGTTTCCTCATCGGACACTGAGGGGCCGGGCCCGCCCCGTCCGCATTCCTCCCGCGCCGGCGTGGGGCTGGGTGCGCTGCAGCGGCCGGGGAGGCTTCTCGGAGGAGGTGGGACCTGCATAGGAGTGTGTGCTTCCTGGGCTAGGAGGGGGATGCGGTGGTGGACGGGAGGAGGACCTGCCAGGCCTGAGTATCCCATCGGCCAGAAGCTTCCAGAAATGAGCTGGGTGTTGTTGCGGGACAGGGAAGAGGCCGGCCGCCCAGTGCGGAGGATTTTTGGCCGGGGGACGGGGGCGGCGGCGGAGAGTGCGGGCGGGAGAAGTGTTGAGAGACGGCCGCCACCGTCTCTCTGTGTGGCTGGGGACCTCCACCGAGACACACCTGCCATTCAGGTAGCGGGCTCTGCCGGAAGGGGCGGGTCTAGTGCTGGCGCTGAGAGGGTCGGGCTCCACAGGTGCGTCAGCCAACCAGCAGGACCCCCGGGCCAGGTGGGAGGTTCCCGGGCCTGGCTCTGCAGGAGGCGCCTGGGTGTGGGCTTTCTGGTGTCCAAACCTGGGCCTCGTTGGCTGGAGAAGCTGGCCATCCCCTCGTGACCTGCACGCAGTTCCACCCTCACACTTAGGTCGGGATTGTTCAGGCAGGAGGAAGTGTGAAGCTGGAGCTCCCGATCGCGAGCCGGCGGTCCCTGGGGCGCGGCGCGCGAGTGGGGCCTGATTCTGCCCCCTCGGGCCGGCGTGCGGTAAACCTTCCTCAAGGATGAAACTGGTGAAGTGCCCGGCAGGTTCCGCTCTGAACGGTCGGAAAGGCCGTCCCGCCCCAGGAGGAACTTAAGCGCCCTGCGCCTTGCGGGGTCAGGAGCCTGAGCCAGCTCAGCGCTGGTCGGTTTCCGCAGACGCTCCCTAGGTCGGAATGTGATGTTCAGTGAAGGAGGAAAAGAGACCTCTGAGTCAGCTGGGGCTGCGCAACAAACCTCTTGGCAGTTTGAATAATTATTTGTCTTAAAATCTCTTTGTTTAGAGTTAATTTAGCATCTGTGGCCACATTCCCAAATCAGGCCTTTGATCCCTAAAGTGGCATGTGGTCACAGGGTGACACAGGCGGTGGGGAAACGGGCAGCACTGTGCCCTTTGTTTCTCAGACGGCCAGGGAAGCGGGTCTGCACTGTGCTCCGTGTCACTTGCTCGGACACCTTGCATGCCCAGTGCCCTTGTGTTCCGTCCAGGGCCACGGACCTGAAGACCGCGCACCAGGCATCTGGGGGAGTTGATCGGGGAGCAGCAGGGTCACAAAGGAGCTAAGCGGAGTCCCCGGGGGCAGTGACACAGGAGAGTGTCGGGGTACAAGCCCTTCTGTGTGCAGGTGAGCCTCTCTGGGACCCTCGGAGGGGACTCCATCCCTGTGGGGCCTCGGGGAGCTGGGTGTGGCCCAGCCAGTGCGTCTCTGTGGGGCTCTTTGGTGTGACTTCCCTAGGGTGCTGCCTGCTGAACTCTGCACACTCTGTACTTTTATTTTTTTGTCATATTTCATTGCCAAGGTCAGCTAGAGGACAAAACCCAAGAGCTTCCAGCCAGCCCTCGGTGGGACTGGGTGCTCATCCTGGGTGCGCGGCCGTGGACTTGGCCGGGTGGTGGGCGCTGCTTTGTGATCCAGATCTGCCTATGGGCTTCGACAGGGTCTTTCGGGGGTGGGGGGGGCGGCATCCCCCACAGGTGTTCCTCATTCTGTTCCCACGCCCAGTGCCCGCCCTTGGGAGGTTACTTCGTAAATGGAACCGAGAGCCCCTCCCCCGGGCAAACCCTATAGGAGGCATGCTCGCTGGTGTGGTCCGTGCCTCCATGCGGACCCAGATGAGACAGCGTGGCAGGTGGGAAGGAGGAACTGGTGTTGGCATGTCTCGCAGCCTGTCAGCCTGGCCGAGACGGGACTGAAGTGCACCGGCCCGCACAGGTGTGGCACCCCGAACATCGCCTCTCAAGGCACGCACCCTCCCGTCATCTCCAGCAGGGAAACTCCGCTCTGTGGCGGCTGCTTCTATAGTCGCGTGTGCCCAGGCAAGCCAGCCCTGGGCCCGAGGGTCCCGGGCCCACCGCGGTGAGAAGGGTTGGAAGTCCTTCCCAGAGCTGAATGCACGGAGCTCGCGAGCCCTACTGTGCGGCGGAACTGCCCACGGAAGCGCTGAGACCGGGGATTCTCTGAGGGGCTGAGGGTGTGCGCGTGAGCCAGACGGTGCGTGTGCGCTGAGGTCCCGTGCGGGTCAGGAGATGCTTGCTGTGTTGTTTCCACAGTGCAGGGAGCGGCGATAAAACCTTGTAGTTGGGGCGTGTAGAAGACGGTGTGAGGAGTGCAAGGCACCTCGGAGGAGGGGTCCCCTGTGTATGCTTTGGCTTTCGAGATCTTGGCCTCACACTAAAAGCTCTGTGCTTAGGTCAAGTCTTCCTCTGGAAATTCTGGGTCATTTTATTTTCAAAAGGTTCAGCGGTGTTGAAAAGAACCAGTATTACAGCAACAAAAGAAATTATGGAAATACTGGGCTGGTGACCAATTTTTGTCCTCAGTCAATGGTAGCTCGAGAGTCCCTCTCCAACGGCAACAAAGCCAGCAAGGGCGGGGGCGTGTCAGGCGAGCAGCCTCTCGTGTCAGAGGCAGTGCGGGCTCTGGAGGACAGTCACAGCCAAGCAGCGGGGCAGCGATTCTGGGGCCCTTCCTCCCATGCAGACGGGGCGTTCCCTGCGCTGGCCCTTAGCGTCCTTCCTCGTGACTTCTCCGTGGGGACCTGGAACACAGACAGGTTGGAAGCAGCCAGCGAAGAGACTCTAATTTAGGGCACTAGTTAATAGTTAATCTTGACGTTGATATTGCCTAAAAATGTAAATAAACAACGTAAATAAGCGCGAAGATGCTTATTAAGGTTCTAGTCACGCCTTCTTAAAGGAAGCAGAAAGCAAAGCATTGCGGTGCCCACCCACTGGAGGCTGACACCCCCCCTTAGTTTGCGTGCAGTGGACCAGGCACATGGGCCGCACACAGGTGCGTGGTCCCCGCAGCAGAGGAGGGCAGGACATACTGGCCCCAGACAGTGGCGAGCCCACGTGGAACCTGTCATCGGTTCCCCTGGACCACGCGCTCCGCAGGAGAGCTCTGTCCCTGCTGCACCCAGGGCCCGGCGTCCACTGAGGGTTAAATCCTTGTGGGACTTCCGCTGCGCCTTTTTCAAGTTCTAACTCACACTGGGCCTCCAGAGGGTGGCGTAGAGGTGGCCCCAGTTCGCCATGGAGGAGCCCGGGCCCTGCGCGCCCAGCGCGCGGGGCTGCACCTCGTGCCGTTGGCCCCGCGGGGCCGCCCGTCACGGTGCCCTCGTCTGTCTTCCAGGGTGAAGGTGGCCGGAATGCTGACGCTGGCGAGCAAACTCAAGCGGGATGACGGTCTCAAAGGGTCCCGGACGTCGGCCGCAGCCTCCGACTCCACAAGGAGGGTGTCTGTGAGAGACCGGCTGCTCGTCAAAGGTGAGGCCTCCCACCCGGCGGGGCACAAAGCAGCCCGTTGCTGAGCACGGACGCCTGCTGCGAAGCGTGTTAGAGGGTAGCCGCTGATCACATGCAGCGGAAGGGCTGGGCCGCGCTGCCGGCGAGGAGAGGGCGTCGGGGACGGCGTCTCAAGGACTGTGGGGCTGCCGGGGCGCTGGTGGGGGACCGCCTGTGGCTCTGGTCTCAGTGCCGTCATCTTCTGGCCGGTGGCGGAGGGGGTCTGGTTCCCTCGGGGTTGCTCAGCACCACGGGCGGGGTGGGACCCGGCCAGCCTGGGGACTCCTCGGCCTGTGGCGGTCAGACCCCGAGCGGGCCGTGTGCGAACGAGCTTGCCCGCGAGCGCAGCAGACGGCTGCTCCTGCGTGGGGGGCCCCTGGGTGTGCGTGTCGGGGAGCATGTGGGGGGCGCACGTGGAGCTGTGGCTTCACTCCCTGGACAGACCTCCGCTCTCGGGAGCGAAGGCGGCTTTGGCAGGGTTGTGAGGGCTGCGGAGGGGAGGGAGGAGCCCCCCTGCCATGAGGGGGCTGGGACGTGGTTCCTCTCTGACGCATAAGGAGTTGGGCCGCGCAGAGGGGCCGAGTGGCGTGTCAGGACGACCCGTCCGTGTTCTCCGAGGCCGAGCCCTGGGTCACCGGCACACGACGTCGGGACACTGGGGGATGGCGTCCGGGAGCCTGCACTCTGCGGGGCCCCTCAGGAGCCGCAGCGCGGGGCCCGGTGAGGCCTCCGTCAGGGGCGCGGGGGCATTGGCTTCTGTGGCGCGTGCGATGGCGGCCGCACCTCCCTCGGGTCCGCCCGTTAGGGCCTGCGTCTCTTTGCCGGGTGCGGGTGCTGGCTCAGGGTTCCACCTGCAGAGGAAGCGGGGAGCCAGGCAAGGCCTGGAGAAGAGCGTGATGAGTGGCCCAAGGAGCAGCAGGCGTTTGGGGCCTGGGGCGCTAGGGTGCGGGAGGCCCCGCGCTTCAGCAGGGGGTGGGGACGGTGGGAAGCTGGCAGCTCCCGGGTCGCCTTCTCAACCGCATCCCCGTCACGGCTACGCAGCCTCTGTGCCCTGAGCACTCCGGGCCAGGCTCCCTGTCCTGTGTGACTTGTGCTGAGCCATGCGGGTGGGTGGCTCACTTGTAGCTGGGCGCACTCAGAGGGTGGGAGACTGGCCAGGTGGCAGTGTGCGCGGCAGGACGGCCAGGCCCGGCACTGGGGCGGGGCGGGGGGGGGTTGCCGCCAGCAGAGGCGAAGGGACAGAACCGAAATGCAGGCGGCGGGGCTCGGCACGGCCCGGGAGCCCAGGGGGGCCAGCGCAGCTGGACTCCGGCCGGCTCCGGGGCAGGGGGTGTCCGGGGAGCTCTGACCTTGGGAGACCCCTCAGGGAGGGGTTCAGGACACCCTGTGAGGCCACCTGTGCCCGTCCTCCCGGGCACTGGTGGGCGTCTGGAGCCTGGTTGTGGGCAGCGGGGCTCAGGGTACCATCCCGCGGGCCTGCTTGCTCCACCTGCCTCGGAGCAGCCAGCGGTTTGTTCAGTCCTGTGGGGAGGGAAAGCGAGGGGCGCGGCCTGGGGGAGGCGGCGGTGAACGAGAGGCGCTCTGTTGGCCGATGCTCGCCAGCCCGGTCCGCTCCGAGGGCCCCTCTCTGCCGGCCGCATGCTGATGCGGTGCGGTGGGGCATGAGAGGGGTGATGGTGGTAGAAGCCCCTTCCAGGTGAAGCCCCCCTTGGGGACCCTGAGGAAAGCAGGGTGTCTGAGTTTAGCACGGAAGCTCCAGTCAGGACGGTGGCGCTGGCCGACGCCGGCTCACCTGCGAGCGTTCCTCGGAGGGGCTGCAGGCTGCAGGGGTGGGCTCCGGTGTCCCTGGACTCAGTGCCGTGGGCTGGAGTTTGTGGCCAGGCCCGGGTCATCCGCCGCGGCCCCAGCGCGCTCCTCTTCGGCGGCGGGCCCCGGGGCCGGCTCTCCCTGCTCCCAGCTTGCTCTGCACAGCAGGGGGCCCGGCCTGGCCACCCACCTGCCACCCGTGCTGCCCAGCGCCTGCGTGCAGGTGCCGCGCGGGGCCTCCCTCGGGCGAGCGCTCCAGTTGTGGGGCAGTTCAGGGCGCCCTTCCAGGGCAGTTCCTGGGCGTGGGGCAGAAGAACCAGCCTCGTTCTCTAGAGTGGCGCCCTCCACGCGGGCCCTGCCCAGGGCTCTGGGGGCTTGGCATGCCACTTCGGCAGCATGTCCCCCAGCGCCCCAGCTCCTGTCGCGCCGCGGAGGTGGGGGTCGGGCTCCCGCGCGAGCGTTGAGGGGCGCGGCTGAGTCCACAGCCCCTCAGTGTGTTTCCCCACGGGCGCAGCTGGGGTTGCGCGCTACAGAGCGTCCTTGAAAAGCTGGAGCCGCGGCCGGGGGAGGGCGAGGACAGCGCTGACAGGGAGCTGAGGCCGCTGGCTCCCCGGCCAGCCTTTGCCTGCAGGAGGGTTAGGTGGCAGTGACGTCGCCCAGGCAACCGGTGGCCGCCCCTCAGGTGCACTGCCGGCCTGGCGGGGCAGGGCAGTCTGCGAAAGGTGGGGGGGAAGGGCCAGTGTGAGGCCAGGGGCTCCACGCCCACGGGGACCAGGCTCCGCTGCAGGGGCAGCGCCGGCGTTCAGGGCTGCAGCCTTGGCCAGGGGAAGGGCTGAGCGGGACTCGGTGGGGTGGGGACTGGGGCGGGCTCTCTCTGTGGCCGGCCAGTGTGTCCAGGAGGAGTGCAGGAGAGGCGCTCCGAGCACAGACAGGCGGCTGAGAGGAAGTCGGAGGGCGGGGGTTGGGACCGAAGGAGGTGATTGCTCTCCTGGGAAGTCGCTACTGTCTACCTAGGTCCCAGGGTGCTGCCGCCCTCCCTGGTGCAGCCTGATGGGGTGGGAGGGGCCTCTTGCTAAAGCCACCCGCATCTGTGAGTGGCCTTTGGTCTCAGCCAGCTCAAGCCACCATACCCAATGGCACGCGCTGGGCGGCGTGAGCAGCAGCCGTTTCTCATGGTTCTGGAGGCTGGGAGTGCGAGACCCAGGCAGCAGCAAATTTGTTTCCTGGCGAGGGCCCTCTCCCTGGCTCGCAGGCACCTCTTCTCTTGGGGCACTAATCCCAGCGTGAGGCCCCCCCCCCCCCCGGCCCCGCAGGACCTCAGTCAGCCCTGGTTGCCTCCTCAGCGGCCTCCTCCGAGCACCGTCACTTTAGCCCTGGGGCTTCAACACAGGGGCTTTGCGGGGGACACACCTTTGTCCACAGTGCCTTCGGAGGCCTTGGCCCCAGCTGTGCGAGGAGCAAGGCCGCTCCCACCTCCGGACGCTGGCACCAGGAGCGCGGCCACCTTGCCAGCCGGTGTGCCCCTTGGGTCGGCCCTTCCTGAGCGCCCTGCGTGTGCCCGGCCGAGGCCCGCACCGCCCCGTGGCTGGGCGGGTCTGCGCAGCCGCCGCCGAGGCTGGTGTGTGGGTTGGAGCGGCGGGCGCGGCGCAGCCAGGGCGCAGTGTGGGGCCGCCCGGGGTGGAGGCGGGGCTGCGTGGCGCTTGGCAGACGCGTGACATGACCTGCTGGTGCAGGCGTGCTTCAAGTGGGCTCTGTGGTTTGCTCTCTCGTTAGAAAGGAGAAGAGCCTCGTTTCCCAGAAGGAAGTCACGTGACCGTGGAATTGTGCAAGGTGCCATGTGCCGCCCAGAAAGCCTGGCCAGTGTGCGGCAGAGGTGTTTGCATCTCCCAACAGGTGACACCTTAGCAGCGCAGAAACACCTGAATTTCTTGTTTCCTTGTAGTGGGGGTCACGTCCTTTGGGCACGAAGGTTACGCAGGGAAGGGCGGCTGCTTGGCCAGGAGGCCTCGAGCATGGAAGGCATCCACTGGCTTCCTCGGTCACAGCTGCCCTGTGCGTTGATGACAGTGGCAGCTGTTGAGGTTAAGACCCTCGTAGCGGCCACCCTTTCAGGGGCAGAGAAACTGTCATTCGTGACTGCTCCCTGAGAGCGACACTGTGTGAGCCTCGGTGGCTTTTTCTGTCTTCTCCGCGGGGCTGAGCGCAAGTACGTAGCATCTTTATCGAAGTCCTCGTGCCCTGGGGAGGTGTGCCCGGCCTGGGGCGGCCAGCGCCGGCCTGGGCTCGGGGCCCTCCCGGCCCTCGTCCGCCTCCCGTGAGCGCGCTCCCCTGAGCGTGGACATGCGAGCGCAGCGCTCGCCTTCGGAGCTGACCTCTCGATGGCAGCGTGAGGTGGTTGGACCCCTCCGTGCAGTGGCCGTGTGTAGCTGTTTGGGCTGGGCCGCGGAGCCCACGGCTGTCTCCTGTGCCTGCGGAGAGGGACAGCCCAGGGGCCTGTCCCGCCTAGGCCTGGGGTGCTTGGGCCTGGAGGGTGCGGCGGAGAAGGCGGGGTTTGCTCTGCAGTTTCTAGATTGTGGCAGTGGATGTACACCTCCGGGTTTTACTAAAGTCATTGAGTTATACACTCCGTGGGTCTATCTTTAATATGTAAATTGTACTCACAAAAGCTGTTGAAAAAAACCAGGAAAAGCCTCCCCAGTGGGTGGGCATGAGCCAGGGTGGAGCGTCCCTCCCTGTTCTGGAGTCCTCCGGCCTGGCGGCCTGGCGTCCTTCCTGCTGTGGCGCCGGCCATTCTGTGGCTCTGTCACCGCAGGGCCCTGGGCGGCCTCCCTGCGCCTGGGTGGGGACCTCGCCTCTTCCCTTGGCGCTGGGCTGCCTTCTCAGACCTTCTAGTTCTGCGCTGTGTGTCCTCCCTGCCTTACCGCCCCCCAGCCCTTCGGGTGCGTTTTTATTTCGCAGGGCCTTTGTGCAGCTGGGCGGGCAGAGGTCTGGGGACAGCAGGCAGCACGCCCGCCCGAGGACGACACCTTCCCCGGGCCAGCATCACACTCTCAAGGACAGCCTCTGAGGACCCTTTCTTGCAAATTCTACCAACAGAAAGTTAAATAATAGTATAATAAAATATGTAAATAGTCTGCGCCTTAAAAATGTCCTTTGATCGTGCAGATAACATTAGTTCTGAAGTGCTTAGCACGAGTGACTCCGCGGATGGAGCGCACGCCTGTGCCCTGCGCGAGCCGCTGGAGCGGAGCAGCCGTCGTCCGCAGAGGGCCTGCCGTGGGCCCTGGGGCGGCGTTTTCCTCGGTGAGCACCTGGCTCCGGGGCAGGACGAGAGCGGCGTCGGGAGGCCGAGCCTCAAGGCTGCTGTGCTGCTCAGGACACGGACACTGAGCTCCTCACGGGCTCCAAGGCTTTGTTAGGCGGACTGCCTGGGTGTTCCCCACGAGGCTGCCAAGAGGGGAACTCCAGGCTCGCCTGTCATCACAGAACCCGGTCCCTTTCCCAGCACAGCTAGGGCACGACCGGCCGTTACTGCGCTCCCCACGCCCAGCTCGACACAGGGGCTTGGGCCGGGGCTGGGCTGACGGCTGGGCGACCGTCCGAGAGGAGAGGCCCCGGGAGGGCGGGCCGGGGTCAGGGCGGGGGCGGGGCGTCCTGCTTGGGGGAACACGCCTTGAGAGGACAGCCTGGGACTGTTCGTCCAGGGGTGAGGTCTGGGGGATGGTATGACTTTCAGGCAGACTGAAGTAAACGTCCAGGGGCCCGCGACTGCCCCTGGCGGCGTCCTGACCGTCACTTCGTACGTCGCAGAGCCGCTTTGTGCCTTGAGGTCTAAGTTTTAGACCAAGCGTAGGTTTCAGTTTGTTCGGTTTACTTCTTTTCCCCTCAGTGTTCTGGACGAAGCTGCGAGTTCTGAGCTGGTGCTTTTGTGAGGAACGAGTGCCGGCACTGACACGAGTCTCTTTGTTTCCACAGAGGTGGCGGAACTTGAAGCGAACCTGCCGTGTAAGTACAGCGTCCCCCGTCCGGTGGCAGCTGCACGGCGAGCCTGTGGGTTCTAGTAGCCTTGCCCGGCAAAACGCCTCTGTTTCATGTGTGTTTGCAGTATGCTTTTTTTAAAAAAAAGATTTTATTTATTTATTTTTAGACAGAGAGGAAGGGAGAGAGAAACATCAATTGGTTGCCTCTCGTACGTGCCCCAAATGGGGACCGACCCTGCAATCCAGGCCTGCGCCCCGACCTGGAGTTGAACCTGCGCCCTTTCACTTTGCTGGGCGCTGCTCAGCCCACTGAGCCGCACCGGCCCGGGCAGAACGCGCTTTGGTTTTGGCAGATGGGGCAGGCGGTCTCCGAGGCCCCGTCGGCGTCGGCGTCGGCGCGAGGCGAGCTTGTCTGCCACAGGCGCCCTGGTCCCCGCCTCGCTGCCCCGGGGCTGCGCCCGGCGGGGCTCCCTCTGGCCCCGCCCCCTCTTTGCATGCAAGGCCTATGGACTCCGATGACAGTCCTAGTTTTGCTCGTGGCAACAGACCTTTTTGGTCCAGAAAGCGCTTATTTGCCATTGATCCTTGTGCCTGAGGTGGGGCGGCTGTGCTGCCAGAATTCACCAGGCCCCCGTGCTCGGCCCCCGCGCAGACGCAGACCCCGTGGGCAGCCTCGCTCGCTCGCAGGCCACTCTCCAGGCCGTGGGCTCGGCCTGGGGCCCGGCTCCTTTGTTTAAGACCTTATAGCTGGAAGGCTTCGGCCATCTTCATGGTTTTTTTGAATTATTACTTTTTCTCATCATACTCGGTAAGAAAGTTTCTCTGAGGCTGAGGGTGTTTGTGCTGTGGGTGAAATACTTTAAGTGCGGTCTCCTGGCCTGGGCGGAGGCCGCAGAGAGAGCCTCTGGTGAGGGCCGGTCTGACGGGGCGGGCGGCCGTGTCCCCCTCCGTTTTACTAAAAAGACGGCCTTTCTCTTTTCAGTTGAGGACCAGGGAAAATGAAGCCCGTTTAAATTGCTCCACGTACAGTTCAGCTGTGTGATTTGGGTGGAACTTGAACCCTTCAGTCCCTGTTATCTTTATTTCTAAAACAATGTGATCCCTAAGACCCCTTCTCGCTCCTCTGGACTGAGTTAGCTTTTGTTCTGCAGTGATTTTCTGAAGGACTGATTTAAAAAACGCTGCAGCGCGGCCGCGAGCCAATGGGACGAGGAGGCGTGGTTTGAGCTGGGGTTCCACTTGGGAACCAGACTCCCTTCTCTTGAAACCTGTGCTCCTTGGGCTGCCCCGAGCCTCCGGACCTTGGTGTCCCGTCTGATGATTGAGGACTTTGGACCAGCTGGTCACTAAGGCCATCTCCAGGTCTACATCCGAATCACCCTGATTCTGATGAAAACGCGCACCGTTGTCAAACCTGTCAAACACTTCCAGTGGGGCTTGTGAGATACGGGAGGTGCCCCAAGGGATTTCGCGTCCCATGCTCCATGCTTACGAAGTTCAGACAATGTCTCTGTGTTCTTCCCACATTCCGTGGGTACTGACCATTCTCTGTGTCATTTGGGTGAAGGAGGCAGGCGCAGGACGCAGTCCCACTTGCTCACCTGTGTCACCGGCCAGGGGGGTCTTCTCCTGGGGGACCTTGTGCGCACGTGCCCAGGCCTCTGCCAGGCAGTGCGGTGGGCACGGCCGGGGCCACTGGGGTCACCCACGGAGCGAGTGGAGCTGCCCGCTGGATTGCGAGGATGTGTTTCTTAAATGCCATGGAAAGCGCTGGGTGCGAGCTGGCTCGGCTGACTTCGCTTTCCCTTTACCTGGCGCTTGCCGCGGCCGCTGCGAGTCCCGGCGGGTGAGGCGAGCAGACCAGGGGTTTGGCCTGGGCCCTCTCCCTGGCTGCTCCCTGGGTGGCTGGCCTTCGCCCGTGAGTTTTAACCTCCCAGGGGTATGGCGTCTCTCTTTCAAAGTGAAGTAGGATAGTTCTTGGAGTTAAATGGAAAGACCGCTATTATTAGTGACCCTTTTAGGAAAGAGAGCATCTCAACCTGGAATTAAGTGGTAAAAGACTATCACAGGAAGTCACTGGTTTGCCTTTTTAGCTCGGGGCACGGCTGCTATCAGATGGGGGGACCCTACACCGTGCAGCCAGGCGTGCGATGCGGCGGCGGCGGCGGGGCGGTTGCCCGCTCTCCCACCTCCCTGACCTGCTGTTTCTTTTGCAGGTACGTGTAAAGTGCATTTTCCTGATCCAAACAAGCTCCATTGCTTTCAGCTAACAGTGACCCCAGGTAACATTCTTACATGCTTAAGTGTTAAAGGGATTTTTAAACAGCACATTTTAAAGGCTGCCCCAACCTACGACCTCCAACTTTCTGAAGGTTACGACAGCGACGACCTTTCTGTCTGAAGACAAGGCGCGTGCTTTGCGGTCCGGTGCGGTCTAGTGACAGTGATGGGGACCGTCCTCGTTCACTCCGTGACGAGGGACAGACCGGGGGCTGCCTCGCGACCCCGGGAGCCCGACCAGCGGTGGGCGCGCGCTGCGGAGCGTGCCTGGGGGCCGCCCTGGGCCCGCGGGGGCAGCTGCGTGGCTGGGTTGAGCCAGCTGCACAGCGGGGGTGGCACGGGACCTGTCTCCTGGGACAGCGGTGTGGGTGACGGAGACCGCGGGAGTGGGCAGGCGGACGCCCGCGGCTTGCCAGCTGTGCTTGTGAGGGCTGACAGGCGTCTCAGCGCCACGTGCCCCAGCAGGATAACACGCTCGTCCCCGGCAGCGGGAGGGGGGCTCCTGTTCCCCTCGCCACAGGGCCGCTCCAGGGGCTGCAGGCCCAGCACGCACGCGCGCCCCCCGGGGCAGCGCGGGGGCCGCTGCCGCCAGCAGCCCGTGGCTCGGAGGGGGGCGGGGAGGAGGGAGGCCAGGGGGAGCCCGCCAGAGGGAAGGGGGTGTGGCGGAGGGACCGAGGCCGTCGCTTTCCCCGGGGACGGGGAGGGGATGAGACGCGGACTCCGGAGTCCCCGGCTGATTAACGGTGGAAGAGCGCCGCCTCCCAGCCAGCGCTCCGCAGCCGCGGGTCGGCCCTGGCTGGGTCGCCCTGCAGGCAGAGAGGTGTCTTTCCCCCGTGGAAGATGTTTTATATAAACAGGAAAAATCCCATTTTCAAAATGTGCTCAAAAAGTTTTAAAACTTTATTTGATCCATGTGGTGGCTCTGCAAACAGCTCTGGGACATGAGCGAAAATTCAGTCTGGTCCCGCTCCTGTTCAGACACGCGTGCCAAGACAGAGGGGGACCCGCCCACCTCGCGCCCGGGAATAACCAGGCTCGGGACCACCATCCGAAGCCGCAACGTGGTGGCCATGTTTGGCCGCCTTCCTAAAACCCATTGCCCGTGCCGCTGGCTTTACCGAGGGGCGCTGGGCACACTCACTGCTGCCTGGCGACTCTCGGGCACCGCGGCAGGGCGTTTCAGAAGTCGCTGTGGCAGTGCGGCCGGCTCCCTGCTGGTGGAGCGGTCCTGAGGCGTGCGTGTGGTTGGAGCAGGGCCGCCCGCTGCCCATCTGGTGTTCCCAGTGGCCGCCAGGCATGCTGTGCGGTGCCTCTGCCCGGGCGCGTGTGGTGGCCCTTCTCAGCTGCTTGCGTCATTGTGCCAGGCTCGTCACTGTCTTACTAGTGTGGACCTCTGCCTGAGTGTTTCTTTTTCTAGGTCCATTTTTTCCCAAATTGCATGGACGCTGGGGTTTTGTACATGACACTCTCACAGTCTTGAAAGCGGAGCACAAGCGGCTGTGACGGCCTGGGTGTCCTCTGTCGGGTCAGATAAAAAAGGGCTCATGTGTTGGCGCCCGGCCCTAGAAGTGTTCAGTGTTTGTATTTGTGACACGTGCATTTGGGGACACGGTGGCCACATGGCGCTGCGTACCAAGCCTCACAGAGCAGCGGCGGCTGTTCCGGGGGCCAGGGAGGCAGGCGGTGCCTGCCCGCCCTCCACACCGGCCTGATGGGGCTTTTCCAAGCTTTTCTGGGCCCTGGCCCCGTAGCGTAGTTGGTGCCAGAACGCAGAGCGTCGTCCCGTGGCACCAAAGTTACGTGTTCAGTCCTCGATCCGAGCACGAACAGGAATCAAGCAGTGTTTCTGTCCTCCCCTGCCACCAACCCTCCCTCAAAGAAATTCAAAAGCATGCTTTCTGGAGCCCCACCCCTTCTAGTATTGAAGAACATCGCGGACACGGGCCCCGGCAGCGTGTCCACGGCGAGAGAAACAGGTGGCGCTGCCGCTGGCTGGGTTGCAGCCGCAGCCCTGGGGCCGGGCGTGCAAGGTCAGGCCCTGGGCTGTGGGGGTGGGGCCCCTCCGTGCCTGACACTCGCAGCTTGTCACCTGGCTCCTGCGTGGTGACGTTTTCAGTCTTGTGGCGTTTGGGATGTCCTTCATCCTTGGGATTGTGCTCTTCAGAGAAAAGGTGGAACTGAAATTTGGTGACAGAAGAAAAGAAATTAACTTAGGGGGGGGAAAAAAAGCCTTCACATCAACTCACAAAACAAGAAAAACTACTAGCAAGTGAAACGAAACCAAACAAAGCGAAACCCCAGGCGCTGAGTCAGATCCCCCTGGAGGGCAGCCTGGGGGGCGCGGGGGGGTGCTGGCCCTTGGCCAGGTTACCCAGCTGGCTCGGGGGTGTTCCGCAGCCGGCCCCACTGCCGGCAGCCGGGCAGAGTGGGCTGTGGGTGCAAATGACAATTACTAAATAACCATTATTACTTTAATTTTAGTTTTTACTTTGTAAGTAAATTTATTGAGGTATAGAATTGCAAACAATAAAATGTCCTGATTTAAACTGTACAGCTTAATGAGCTTTGAAAACTGTGCGCCCCAGGGCGGCCCGCACAGCGCGGCCAGCCGCGAGCTTTCCACCTGCCAGAGCTCCCCTCCGCTTCTTGGCCGCCACTCCCGCGGTCCCGGCTGCCCACCCAAAATCCCTTTCTGACCACGAGGACCATGAACCGGGTTTGCCAGTTCTTGAATTTCATATCAGTGGAATCTCATATACTCTTGTCACGTAAGAGATTCACATGTATCTCGCATACTTATGTAGTCCGTTTCTTCTTGTGCGTAATGTGTGTTCAAACTCATATGCGATGTGTGTGGGTCAGCAGTTTGCTCCTCTTGGTTCGCTGTGTGAATGTGCCGGAATTGTTCATTTCCCTGTCGGTGGGCCTGGGAGGCCTCTGCAGCTTCGGCGTCCGTGAGTCCGCCCGCTGTCCGCGCTCCCACCGCCCTGCACCCTGAGTGCGTTCCTGTTTTTCCTTTCTCTTCAGCTCCACTAATTGTGACGTCTCGGAGTCATAGGAAAGGTCCATGTTTAGCTTTTTAAGAAGCTTTCCAAAGCGGTTGTACGTTGTACCATATAGCAACGCGTCACCAATTCCATTTGTTCGATGTGCTCACGAGTGTTGGGGTGTGACATGGCATCTCACCGTGGTTTGGGCTTGCATGTCCTGGGTGCCGGGGTCTTGACGGAGGCTGACCCCACGACAGCGAGGCCTCCGGTCCCCACGCGCAGGGCAGGCCTCCGCTCCCTCAGGTCCTTAACGCGCCCCACGGGGTCTCAGAGTTTCGGTGTGCGGACATGTGGGTCACTGAGTGTTTCATGTTTTATGAAGCTGTTGTAAATGGAATTTTTAAAATTTCCATCTTGTTACTCGTACATAAAAATACAACTGATTTTTAAAAATATATTGGTCATGTGTCTTGTTACTTTGCTGAATTCATTTGTTAAACTCTAGTAGCTCTTAGAAAGGATTCTCAGGATTCCTGTGTTGAGGGCGCCTGTAAGTAGACAGTGGGGCTCCGTTCTCACCGGCGCACTTGCCTGCGGCTTCTTTGTCTTGCACGTCAGCTGCGGTCGCCAGCGCGCGGGGAGTAGAAACTGGGAGACCTCGCCTTTGCCGGGGTCCTGACCTTGGGGGGCCGCGCTCGTTGTTCATTGAATACTATGTCAGCTGTAGGTTGGTTGGCATTTTTTTGTTTGTTTTTGTTTTCTTATAGCATGATTTCCATCAGATTGAAAAGTTTATTTTCCTTGCTTAGAGTTTTTATCTTGAATCTGTGCTGAATTTTTTTTCAAATGCTTTCTCTGCATTGGTTGAGGTGATCACATGATGGTTTTTCTCAATTATGTGGTAAACATGGTAAATGACACATTGATTTTTTTTTAATGGTAAACCAGCCTCCTATTTCTGCAGTAAACCCCACTTGGTCATGATGAGTTATCCATTTTTATGTTGCTTGATTCACTTGGCTAATATTGCTGCAGAATTTTGTTCGTATTCATGAAGAACATTGGTTAAGTGTTCCCTTCTGTTTTCCGAAAGAGTGGGTATAGGGTGGTATTATTTTTTCCTTAAACATTTGTTAGAATTCACCAATTAAGCAATCCGGACCTGGAGTTTCCTTTTGGGGAAAGTTTTTATTTATGAATTCAATTTATTTAATAAATACAGGGTTATTCATCTGTTATGTTTCAGTCAGTTCTATTTTTTTTTCCCAAGGAATTTGTAGAATTTATTTCTATAAAAGTTGTTCAGAATATTCTTATGTCTGTAGGGTATGCACCAATGTCTCCTTTGCATTCCTGATATTGGTAATTGGTCTTCTCTTTTTTTTTTTTCTTGATCATTTTAGCTTGAGATTTATCCAGTTGATCTTTACAAAGATCAGTTTGTTTGCCCATTTCATTGATTTCTGTTCTTTATTATTTTCTCCTATATACCTTTGGTTGAATTTGCTTTTCCTTCCTTCTTAAGGTAGAAATTTAGATCATTAAAATCCTTCTTAAAACCCAATCTTGATTGAGGTGTAAGTTACTTTTTTAAATTTAGCATAATGCTTTTGAGCTTCGCCCCTGCTGTTGCGTTAAACAACACGTCTCTTTGCGGGTGAGCTGTCTTCTGTCTGTGTGCCAGCCTGTGTACCCGCCCACCAGCGGACGGACCTTTGTGCTGTTCCCACTTTGGGGCCCTCGTGAGTGAAGCCCCTGTGAGCCTCGGAGGACAGGCCTGTGTGTGCACGTGAGCTTTAACTTCTCCCGGCCCTGGAGTCACCGGGTCCTGCGGAGAGAGAGCTTGGCCGCACGAGGAGCCGGCGGCTCGCGTTCTTGCGCGCGGCGCAGCAGCCCCTCCTCCCACGACCTGCCGACAGCCGCTCTCGGCGGCCTTTTCTCTTTCGGCCACCCCGGCGGCCCCTGTCGCACTGTGGCTTTAACTGGCGCGCCCTCGGGCCTGTGGCGCCGCG